ATAATAAATTAAACTAAAAAAAATCAGGAAATAGAGGAATTGCTGCTGCTGCTGCTGCCGCTGCAGCAGCTGCAGCTGCAGCAGCAGCAGCAGCAGCAGCAGCTGGGGCTGCGGCGGTTTCCTCACTCTTTGCTGGTCTTCTTAAGAAGTAAATATATAAAAATGAATTGTTTTTAAATTTAATGTTTGTAATCATGCGTTGTGTCTATACAGCGCATTAGAAGAAATAAGAAGAGCAGCCGTTACTGCTGCTGCTGCTGCTGCTGCTGCTGCTGCTGCAGCAGCAGCAGCAGCAGCAGCAGCAAACTGTTGCCCCCCATCTTCCTTCTTCGTAGAGGAAGATGGACCGCTCCCCCGCCTTAGATATTCACCCCGCAGAAGGTGTTGCAGCAAAAACATGCGGGGCGTCAGCAGCAGCAGCAGCAGCAGCAGCAGCAGCAGCAAGTTCTGCTTCCGATGCTGCAGCAAGCAATGCAGATGCAGCAGCAGGAGCAGCAGCAGCAGCAACTGCAGCAGCAGCAACTGCTGCTTCCGATACTGCAGCAAGCAATGCAGCAGCAGCAGCAGCAGCAGCAGCAACTGCTGCTTCTGACGCTGCAACCAGCAACACAGATGCAGCAGCAGCAGCAGCAGCAACAGCAGCAGCAGCAGCAGCAGCAGATGATGATGATACGCAGATGGAAGGGTTCAGCAAGGTGACCCCAAATGAAGCAATAGCTGCTTACTTATATCCTGAGGAAGCAGCAGATAGCATCCGCAAGCTGTGTCTGCTGCCTGCTGCTGCTGCTGCTGCTGCTGCTGCTGCTGCTGCTGCTGCTGGTGCTGCTGCTGGTGGGGATGCAGCACAAGCAATAGGGCCAGCCGAAGCAAACCAAATACAAGAAGCAGCTCTTGCTGCTCTGCTGCTGCATCTGCATGCGCAGCGCGTATCCTTTGTTGAGGTTCTTAAGTATGCAGACAGCAGCAGCACAGCAGCAACAGCAGCAGCAGAAGCAGCAGCAACTGCAGCAGCAACTTGTGGCGGATATGTAAAAGCAGCACAAATGCGCAAAGCAGCAGCAGCACTCCCAGCACAGATCCTACGCCGCATGCCAGAGCTGCCTCTCCGCAGCAGCAGCAGCAGCAGCAGCAGCAGCAACAGCAGCAGCAGCAGCAGCAGCAGCAGCAGCAGCGACAACAATGGTAAGGTAAACAGCAGGTGCAGCAGCTGCAGCAGCCCGAGAGCGGGCGAATTGACGGACACTGCTGCAGAGACCGACAGCAGCATCACCAGCAGCAGCAGCAGCAGCAGCAGCAGCAACAGCAGCAGCAGCAGCAGCAGCAGCAGGGAGAGACTATCTGAGGATGATGCTCTGTGGCAGCTGCTGCTGCTCTGCAGCAGCAAATACTTCAAAGACTGGCAGGGGACGGAGGGGGGCGCAGCCTGCTGCTTGGCGGTGGCGGAGGCATCGCCGCAGCTGCTGCAGCTGCTGCTGCCTCTCCCCAGCAGCAGCAGCAGCAGCAGCAGCAGCAGCAGGGATGACGATAGCAACGAAAGCAGCAGCAGCAGCAGCAAGTACTGGAGTGAGGATTGTTGTGTTGGTTTGTTTGTGTTGCGGTTGCTGCTGCAGCAGGTGCATGTACCTTCGTTTGCTCAACGTACACGACAGCAGCTGCTGCAGCTGCTGCTGCTGCTGCTGCAGCATTGTGTTGCAGCAATATATAAGGAGCTGCAGCAGCAACCATTGGTGCTAGATATATGTAGACAGATGGAGGGAGAGAGAGACCCCCGCTGTCTGCTGCTGCTCTTCTCTATCATACACCAGCTGGGGTGTACGTACACCCCAGCAATGCGGCAGCAAGAAATAGAAGCTGCTGTCGACCTCATCATTAATTATTTTCCTATTTCTTTTACTCCTCCCCCGAATGCTGTTGCCTCTGTTACCGGTCAGATACATGCATGCATGCATCTGCTGCTGCTGCTGCTGGTGTTGCTGCTGCTGGTGTTGCTGCTGCTGCTGCTGGTTGCGTTGTTGCTGCTGGTGGCGTTGTTGCTGCTGCGGGGTGTTGCTGCTGCTGGTGTTGCTGCTGCTGCGGGGTGTTGCTGCTGCTGGCGTTTTTGCTGCTGCTGCTGATGATGATGTTGCTGCTGCTGCTGCTGCTGCTGCTGCTGATAATGTTGCTGCTGGTGCTGCTGTTGCTGCTGCTGTGTTTGTTTGTTGTTTGCTTTATATATATACATATATATATATATATATATATATATATATATATATATATATATATATATATATATA